CAGGTGCACTAAGCCAAGAAGAACTCGAGTGGATTTCTGGGCATGTGCCTGTGGTAACAGGGACCAGACAAGCACCAAGAGCCCTCCAATAGAAATACTTGAGTGATGTCTCTGATTCACAGTTTGTGTATACAGTCTTCCCCAGCTTGTAATAGTAATTCTCTTCCACAGATAAGTCAACATGACCCACCAATTCCCAGCGCTGTCTCCCGAGCAGAAGAAAGCTCTTTCAGACATTGCTCAGCGGATTGTGGCTTCAGGAAAGGGGATCTTAGCTGCAGATGAATCAGTAGGTGAGTTTTAGATATCAATCAGTTAGCAGTACCCAAGACTTTTAAGTTTGCTTCATCTTTGAAATCAGTGGAATAAATTAAAAATACTTAAAAAAAACGTTGACTGAGCAAGAACACCTCTGCCAGGCTGGACTTCGTCTACAGCAACAAAATCTGACAAACTGTGAACTGAGAAGAGAAGGTCTGAGCTGAAGCCCCAGTTCATTACTACATACTGGGACCAGGAAGCCAGCCAAGCCTAACACCTCTCTGTCTCACCCGTGTCCACCTCATTAGGTACCATGGGGAACAGGCTGCAGAGGATCAATGTGGAGAACACAGAGGAGAATCGCCGGGCTTTCCGAGAGATCCTCTTCTCTTCAGATGCTTCCATCAACCAGAGCATTGGGGGAGTGATCCTCTTCCATGAGACTCTCTATCAGAAAGACAGCAGTGGAAAGCCATTTCCAGCTCTCATCAAAGAAAAAGGCATTGTGGTGGGAATAAAGGTGAGTATTTGTACATCTCTGGCTGGCAGTGTAATCCAAACCCCATCTCCAGTGAAAATTATATATGAGCAGCACTGTCTCCTGCCAGACACTTCTTTTTGTCTTTTGTGCTTGGTTTTAAAACCACTGGAGGATCTTTGAGACCATTCTCTGCATTGCTTTTGTACAACTAACTAACCTACATTTGATGCAGGAACTTTTCATCCACCAAATCCCATCTGCTCACCATTCACTGCAATTAAATCCATCCATGCAGTAACCTAAATTCAGTCCTTTCCACATCTGACAGAGCTCTTGAGCCACTCCATGCAGCCATCTATACACCGCCTTCCTCTTACCCAATTCACTCCTTTTCTTCGCCTTTGTTCCAACATTTCCCTTCTTTGCACCTTTACCGTGTTCAGCCCCATACTTTACTCAGAGTCATCCTGCAAAGACAGACTAACCATGGGTAACAAAATAAGGATGCAACTGATCACCGTCTCTTTGTAACCCTTCCTGTTTTCCTGGTCTCCACAGCTGGATAAAGGCACAGCACCCCTAGCAGGAACAAATGGAGAAACCACCATCCAAGGTAAGGAGAGCTCTAAGGAGCCCAAGCTATGCCTGGTGCAGCAAAAGCCATGGGGTGACCCACCCAAGTTGCAGCCTTGGCTGGTGTCATGGTACTTTTAAGAGCTATGTTGTGAAGAACTGCTCTCAGTGCTCTTCTTTGATCTGCAGGGCTGGATGGACTGGCTGAGCGCTGTGCCCAGTACAAGAAGGATGGTGCTGACTTTGGCAAGTGGCGCGCAGTGCTGAAGATCACCAGCACAACACCCTCTCAACTTGCCATCCAAGAGAATGCCAACACATTGGCACGCTATGCCAGCATTTGTCAGCAGGTATCTATCCTCCAGCAACCTTGCCTAAGATGCTGTTGCCCCTTCTCACTGTCCCTTACGATAACATGCTACGTATCTTGAAGGGCAGATCTCTGAGAGGCTTGTGGGAAAGATGAGGAAGAGGGCAGTGCAGCAAGAAGGAATACCACCAAAGTCAGCATAGACAACAAGGACAGGTTTTTTTCCACATCCCCAAAGAACTTTCTGTTTTTTCCTTTCTTAGCATGGCTTGGTGCCTATTGTGGAGCCAGAGATCTTGCCTGATGGAGACCATGATCTCCAGCGCTGTCAGTATGTCACAGAAAAGGTAAGAGATTCCTGCCCCCCTCCTCCCCTTCACAAATCAGTAGCTAATCTTACACAAAGTGCATTCACGTATCTCAAACAGTTTTGACCAAAAAGGTATTTCATAACTGTATCACTAAAATGAGTGCTTTGGGAATGATTAAAGAGTGGCTTGTGGTCAAGTAGTGAGTTAATAGCAAATGAGAATCCATGCTTTTAGATTTCCACTCAAACTGACAATATAAGCATTCTTGATCTCAAGAAGATGCATTGGGAGCAAAAACACTCACCCCTCTTTTAGTAGTTCAGTTTGCAGAGACAAATCCCATAAATATTGAGAGTGGTATCCTGGTCATCTCAAAAGTAGTGACGTCTCTGGGGCTGCGATAAATTGCATGAGAAGGCAAAGCTCAATTTGATCTTCTCACACTCCCAAGGAATAAGCTGTCTTTCCACAGCAGGTTGAGGTGAAGATTTGAGCAGAGGTCTATATTCAACCCTCATGTTTTCAGGTTCTGGCTGCTGTCTACAAGGCCTTGAATGATCATCATGTGTACCTGGAAGGGACACTGCTGAAACCCAACATGGTGACGGCTGGGCATTCCTGCCCCAAGAAGTACACCCCTCAGGATGTAGCCGTAGCAACTGTCACTACTCTTCTCCGCACCGTTCCTGCTGCTGTTCCTGGTGATTCCCGACTCATTCCTATGTATTCATTCACACTGTCACTCTTGATGGCTTTGGTCCTACATCTGACAGGCTTGCTCCTCTGGCACGTAGAGGTCAGGGACTGCAGTGGCTGGAGCACTCCGTTTCTAAGCCTCTAAACCTCTTTCTTGCAGGAATCTGCTTCCTGTCTGGAGGTCAGAGTGAAGAGGAGGCTTCTGTCAACCTGAATGCCATGAATCAGTCCCCTCTGCCTAAGCCTTGGAAACTGACCTTTTCATATGGGAGAGCCCTGCAAGCCTCAGCCCTAGCAGCATGGGTGGGCAAAAGCGAGAACAAGAAGGCTGCACAGGAGGCTTTCCGCAAGCGGGCACAGGTACAAGGCTTTCTCCCAGTGCAGAGAGTTTCTGCTCACCACAAAGGAAGGTGACAACACACCTCCCCTTGTCCCCACCCGTCCTGGTGCTTCAGGCTGACCAGGGATGTTATCCTCTTAGTTTTGCCTCGTTTGGTTACTCCTGCTGTCTTTCCACATCTATCTTTCTTACTCCAAGCTAACTGGTTTCCCCTCCTTTTTCTTTCTTTTTCAGATCAACAGTTTGGCTTGCAGGGGACAGTATGTCATGTCTGGAAAGACTGACACAGCTGCTATGCAGTCACTTTTCACTGCCAGCTACACCTACTGAAAGCACAGGAACCTTCCTTGTCCTGTCTCACTACACAAGGTGGAAGATGCTCGGAAATGAAAGAAAACCATAGAAATCTAATTTCCCTTACCCTAAACAAAACTGGAGATAAAATGGATTAGCTTCCTCTCCATCCTTCACTCCCACAATTTACTGAGGGGATATTCTTGTTTCATCTGCCCATTCCAAAGAAGGGGATTTCTTTCCATGACAGACAACAGCTGCTAATGAATCATGCACCTGTTCTCCCTCTGGTTTAAACCTAGCACCCAGATTAGTAGGCAGATTAAGTAGTTCCCTATCAATTCAAATAAATACCCTTGCCCACTACCACATTTTGCAGCCAAAATCTGAATTACAAAACCTGACTCTGTCTTCAATCATGGGAATAAAACAGTAATTGAAAACTAATCTTTATCTCACAATTTTTTTTTCTGTATAAACTTTACAGTCTCTTTCACACATCTGTGGTTTTCAGTAGCCTATCCAAAGATTAAGTCACAAGGTGTTACTGCTGTGAGCTTGGGAAACCCTGAGGAGATCAAAGGGAAACAATCCAATAGTGATACAGCTGGAGAGGTTAATCCTGCTGATGGAAGTCTGACAGACACTGAGGAAAACGTCAGAGATGTATATGGCAAGCAGTGCACAGGACTCAAGCCACATATAAGTAACACACCAACAAACCTGTCCTCTCTCTGGAGAATGGTTGATGTAATGAGGCTGCTACACACTGAGTTAGGGTTGCACGGGTTGAGTTAGTGCTGTGCAAAGACTATTGTTCCAAAGTGCTTTTACAGTGGCATTTTCCACAATAACTTAACATAAAACATGCAAGGAGGCATCTTGGCCTACCCTGCTGTCATAGCTTGAATAATTAGGTTGATGTTGAAGGCCCACAGTTTGACCTTTGGTATGTTGCTATGTACCTGTTAGAGATGTAAGCTTAGTTAGCTGAAGCACAGTGAGACAGCTGTTATGAAAAAAAAAAAAAAAGGCATAAACGGTAGAAATAGCAAACCTAAGTAAACAAGAATATATAAGAGTATTAGCCTGGCAACATACTACACCAACCAACTAGCAACACCTTGGATCAGCCCGCCAACCAGCAAAGACCACACGACCCAGATGGCCCACCTCTACCTTAGGGGCCACCCAAGACCAAGCCTGTACAGCCGTAGCCATCCCATTCTGCAGGCTGCTCCTCCAGCCAATGGCACCCCCTGCTCCTGCCAGCAAGGAGAGGGAAAACAGGAAAAATCACTGATCTGTAACATCCTTGTGTGCTTTGCATTACTAACTATAGTCTTTCACGGAAGCAATAAACCAAACTCCTTCACAGGGATCCAATCACTGCATAATTCACACAGGCTTTTAGTCTGTACTGAACATGAATGAAGAGCAGGAGCCTTGCTAACACTAGAGGCCGGTACCAGTATCAGAACACCACCTCTTTTCTGGGTCAGTTGAAGCCCTGTAAGTCTCTGAGCATCTGAGTTCAAATAAACCCCTGCTCCTGATGAGAAGCATCCCACCGATCTTTTGATCTATGTAGATTGCTTCTCTTAAAACTTAAGAGTGGAAAAAAATTTCTCCAAACTGTCAAAAGAAACCTCTCCACTTCATGAAACTAAAACTGTAGCTTTGCTAAATAATTCCTGCTCCTTTCCTGGACATCTATCACACATGCTGTGCCTGATGCGGCTGGCAGCTGTGCCCAGACTCCTCGTGTCTCCCTTTGACAGGGGCATTTGTGACCACAGCACACGGACGTCTGCTGAATGTACTGCCATGAATCAAAGCAAGGCTCTATACAGACAAAGCGTTATTTCTTGTTTGTAAAAATGTACAATCCTTCTAAAAAATAGGAAGAGTGATGTTATCATATGATTGCATATCTGGATCAGAAATGTGGCCCACAGAACAAACTTCCTCTGAAAACGGGCTGGCTTACAGAAACAGCAACGGGATGAAAACCTACAGGGACAGCTGCCAAGAGTCTGTGACTGGCAAAACCTCGCAGCGACTCTGAAGTCGCAGAAGGTGACAACGGATGTCTCCACCTGATGCTCTTTTAATCCCACACCCCCCGCTCCCAGGCTCCTTCCCACGCCGGCTGGCGCGGCC